CCGCTCAGGTTTGGGAGAAATTGCTACAATGCTCGAAACACGGCCAGCATCTCCAGGCATTTGATGTGCCACATGAGATGGGGACCTTCCCACAGACCCTGGGTGGAGCGGCCACTCATGACCGCTCCCCAGCCCATACATGGAGCCCACAACACGGGGCCTTGTGACAGAACCCAAGGTTTCTTCCACATGTCTAAGGCACGTAAGCATCGCCGCGTTGGAGTTTATTTTGGAGGTCAAAGTGTATTTTTAGAGATTCATCATGAGTGTCTTTTAGATTTTTGTCAATTTCTTTAATAATGGCTTTGGGGCTGAAGCTGTAGTCAGTGAGGAGCTGGGTTTTCTGGACTAGCTGAAGAGCGAGCGTGTTTAGAGGATGTCGTTGATGTAATTCAGTGTATGGATGCCCTGGAGTTGCAGAGGAGCCAGAGCAGCATCCACACACTTGGTGAAAGTGTGAGGTGAAGAGTGCCAGACCGAACGGAAGAACCCGATATTGGTACGCTTTGCCCCCGAATGCAAACCTCAGGAACTTCCTGTGTTGAGGAAGGATGGATATACGGAAGTATGATTGATTGTCACAAACCAGTCCTCGGAATAAAAAGAATCGTGATAAATAGCCTGCAAACGCATTTATACATTTGCACATGTTTGGGGGAAAGAGAGAGAAAAGGAAGCTCCCGTCTGCTCACAGATTCCCCAACATTATTTGCTGCAGACCCATAATGCACGCGTTGCCTCTGCAATACGCGAGCCACTTGATTATATATTGTATAAGACTTTCTTCCCTCGAGAAGAAACGCTAGCAGAAGCAGAGCTAAACATCCAAGGAAATGCACACTTGTACACTTAGGGACATTTTATGAATGAACACAGCCAGCCCCCTCAAGAGCTGACTGTGCGTGCTCCACTCCAAAACAAACCACACAAAAATCGTGTGCATCCCCACCCCTAATTATAGCGAGGGCAGGGAGAAACAAGCAATCTAAACGGCAGTATGCTTTTCATATGCAAAAGATTGAGATGGCGAGTCCTCAATCTCATATACATCATAAAAAAAAAAAAAAAATCTGCATATGCATATTATCCCAGAAATAGTGAAAAGGCGGCTTAAGATCCTTCCACACTAACTCTGCTGAATACATTAATCATAATTTAACATAACAAATTAAATATTTTTATACTTGCCTTTTGAATGAAGTGCCTGCAACTGTATTTGGTTGTAGCTTCTTATGGACATCGCTGAGACACTTTGACAGAGTTTACTGCTATTGCTTGCATGTACAGTTGCGTATTGATCCTCATGTGTTCTCCAAGCTATAGCTTTTTGTTGCCGCACTTGTAACTCTTTTTTCAGTTCCTCAATCTCAGCATCCTTTTTCTTTACTTGTTTTTTCAGTGTTTCATTCTCTGTATTCTTTCCCTTTAGTTCATTGCTCATCATATAAACTTGCTCTTCCAGTTCAGTATTTCTTCTGTATAGATCTTCTTGAGTTCTCGAGTATCTTGATTGTAACCTCTCCTTATGGACATCGCTGAGACACTTTGACAGAGTTTACTGCTATTGCTTGCATGTACAGTTGCGTATTGATCCTCATGTGTTCTCCAAGCTATAGCTTTTTGTTGCCGCACTTGTAACTCTTTTTTCAGTTCCTCAATCTCAGCATCCTTTTTCTTTACTTGTTTTTTCAGTGTTTCATTCTCTGTATTCTTTCCCTTTAGTTCATTGCTCATCATATAAACTTGATCTTCCAGTTCAGTATTTCTTCTGTATAGGGCAGACTGGTCAAGATCTTCTTGAGTTCTCGAGTATCTTGATTGTAACCTCTCTATCTCCCTTTTTTTTTCTTGAACTATTTTTTCCAGTCTCCTTATCTCTGCATCTTTTGCATCGAGTAGCATTTTCATAGAGTCTTCATTTTGCAACTTTTCCTTAGAGGCTGACAGAGAACTGATTTTCGATTTGATCCTTTCAACAACATATTCCCAGTCTGACAGCAATGTATTATTATCGTCTGTCTGAGCAGAAAGTTTAAAACAACTCGTTGAATTCTTCCTGACAACAAGCTCTTCAATTGTCTCAATAATCTGGTTGCTGTCATTTTTGTGGATCACAAAATATCTTTTTCCACATTTGTCAATTAAAGGTTGAAGCTGTTCACTTCTGATATGATCCTCAATGCGGCAATGTCCCAGTTTTTCTCCGTTGGTGAATAGCACTATGGTATGTTTCCACAGCTGAACAGTAAGCAGACTCTCTAGGGTGCTGATGTTCGACTCTGACAGCACTGAGTTCACGTTAAGCACTAAGATGACTGCGTGAGGTCCAGTTTTATATAAAGTCTGTACACAGTGCACAATTTCACGTTTGGTTTTTTCTGATCTACTCAAGTCTCCATTCCAGCCTGGGGTGCGAGCCAAATGAATCTGTGTTCCTGATACTGTACGAGTCTCCTTGATGTGGACACTTCTTAAAGACGTCCAGAATGTGAAGACTTTTTCTTTAAGGATGGCATTAGCAATGGTGTTTTTTCCAGCACCTTGACTTCCAATCAGCACAAGTTTAAGATCCTCAAAAATAGGCTGAATTTCTGAAAAATTGAAATGTTGTGTTAAATTAAAATAAATTGAAATATATTTTAAAAGTGGTCTCAGTAATATTTGTTTATATTGCACTGAACAATATTATATGAGTGAACCTATATTAACACCCGACACTGATTTTAATTCTCATTTCATTTTAACAATAATGCTGGTCTGAAGAACACGGAAGTGCATTTATGAGTAATATCTTGATAGTTTTCAGTGGTCTCTTTCTAAAAAAAAAGAGTGAAAATTCTAGTCTACTATATGTTTCTACATTTGTAACAATACACAAATCAAAATTAATTGCATTGAGATTCACATTAAGTCTGGTTGTCAGATGTATTGCTAAGATAACACGGAAGTGCATTTATGAGTAATATCTTGATAGTTTTCAGTGGTCTCTTTCTAAAAAAAAAAGAGTGAAAATTCTAGTCTACTATATGTTTCTACATTTGTAACAATACACAAATCAAAATTAATTGCACTGAGATTCACATTAAGTCTGGTTGTCAGATGTATTGCTAAGACATTGCTTATAATAAACAAATAAATATACATTTCTAAAATAACATTTTTAATATACATACATACACAGAGATGTTCCTACTCTCACCTTCATCGTGTCCTAACAAGTGCACTTGGTCCTCTTGTGCTAAATCAGAAAAGCAATGAATTATAAAACTTTTAACAATAAAACTTAAAAAATGTTCAGATACACAATCATATCAAAGATTAACAGGAAACATATTCACTGATAATAATTACTTTATTGTTATAAAGAATTAAAATCTTTTTATTTTTATACAACAGTTCTTTCTGGTCCTCGAATCTGTTTGGCTCATAAGAGTGTGATATTAGAGTCCAACAGAACCGTTTGTATAATGTATCACTCCGCTTGACGAAGTTGCCATATTTCTCACAGCGGTGAGGCTTTTACAGGGCGTTATTGAATCTAAGCAATCAACATTTAAAAAAGAGATCTTATTAAACGATATTGATATCAAAGATAGAAAATGTAATAATAAATTTTTTAAGATGTTTGATTCATTGCCCTGCAACATTTCTATATAAATACTTCTGGAATAACCATTTTGAAAATATCAACTGGAAATTGATTTGGACTTATAATAACAAATTCTGTGTCACTAATAAAGAAAATCTGACTTTTCCAGGTTTTAAGTGCTATAATCAGGTCCCCGGTGCATCTACCAACCAAGGAAATGTGAAAAAGATTAACCCAGTAACTTTGTTTTGGTAAGCCTTTTTATATATATATATTAGTGGTGTCAAAATTAGCGCGTTAAAGCAGGCGATTAATTTTTTCAGTTTAATGCGTTAAAAATATTTCACGCAATTAACGCGGGGTGGGGCTAGGGTTAACTAATTAATCGATTGACACACACATATATATATATATAGGGTACAATGGGGCTAAAGGCACCCCGGGGTAAAAGGCGCCTTTGATATTATTTTAATCTAAACCACTAGATGGCACAAAAACGTGGCGTAGCACTTTCCAAAACATCCGCTTTTCAAGATGCACGTGTATAATTGTCTGATCCTTGACGCGATCGCGCGCAGCAGTGCAAAGTTTTCAAGATGCACGTGTATATTTGTCTGATCCTTGACGCGATCGCGTGCAGCAGTGCGAAGTTGATTATGTGCTGACTTGATCTAATATTTGATGCTTTATAAAATGTTGTAGATTTAAGAAGCAAATGAGAATCGCTAAAATTAATGCATATATTTTGAGACAAAGTCTTCTTTATGATTTTCAGTTTTGTTTAAGATAATTAAACCAACAGTTTTTAAATAACGAAAGAATATGTAAAAGTATGGTATTTCGGGTAAAAAGCGCCCCTGCTGTTGAGGCTAAAGGCGCACAGTAATTAACATGAGAATTAATAGATGGCTGACTTTTCCATTTGTTGACATGACATGGTTAGATTCAGATGGTAAATATCATATAATATATTGGGTGTCCATATTAGAGATAATCACCATGTTTAGAATGAAACCATCATATTTAAAAACATGATATTAATCATATCATATAATAAAATATCATTTGTTGTTATTAGTGTAAATATATATTCAATTATTATTGGATCTCCTTCAATATTTTCATAATCTTTACTTATTAAAATGATTTTGTTTCTGTATTTTAAAATATATTTTTTATATTAACATATTTTAATGACAGTATATTTTTTGAACAAAAATGAATTCTATTATTTTTCAAAATAATCAGAAAATAGTACAAACTTTGCTAAAGTGATTGTTTTGAACAAGTATTGACTTAGACATTACTTAAAAAACATTATTTTAGGTATTTGTATCAATACCGTGGGACTTTTACCCCGTGTGTGGGGGAAAAGGTCCCTCTTGCCACCTCATACGTTTATAAGATTTTTAAACAAAATAAACAACAAACACAAAATTTGTTGCTCCATTAATGTTCAATACAACGTATATATTTTTTCTGGAATTATACATTTTAGGCGCGGTTTCTTAAGGTGGGCCTTTAGTTGTACCCTATACAATGAAAGTCAACACTTTTCACACTTGCACTACCGGTCAAAAGTTTAGAATAATTACGACTTTTTAATGTTTTTGAAAAAAGTCTCTTCTGCTCACCAAGACTACATGTATTTGATTAAAAATACAGTAAATACAGTACAAATTTTAAAATATTATTATAATTGTATATATTGTAAAATGTAATTTATTGCTGTGATCAAAGCTGAATCATTCTCATTTGCTTATTTTAAAGAAAAGACTATATTTATGCATCTATTCGATCAAAATAAATTCTACAACTCTTTTCAACATTGATAATAATCAGAAATGTTTCTCGAGCAGCAAATCAGCATATTAGAATGATTTCTGAAGATCATGTGACACTGAAGACTGGAGTAATGATGCTGAAAATACAGCTGCGCATCACAGAAATAAATTACAGTTTAACAGATATTCACATAGAAAACAGTTATTTTAAATTGTAATATATTTCACAATTTTTAGTGTATTTACTGTATTTTTAATCAAATAAATACAGCCATGAAGAAACTAAACTTCTTTCTTTGTGTACATGTATTCAAAATTCACTTAAATATTTGAAAAAAATCTCAAAACATTGATTCTTGATTCATGTTTTGATTGGACTACAAAGGTAATTTTACCCCAAAAATGTGATTAAAAAGCAAAATAAAGAATTAAACATGCTATTAGAAAAGGTCACATGAAGGCTATGTAGCAAACATGTTGATTGCATTCTGTTTTTAATCAACAGTATGCACTAAACAGTGTGCAGTATGCAGTAAAGCGCACACTAGTGCCACAGCAAACCCCAGCAGAGACTGTCAGACGTGTCGTACCTGTTTGGCTCCGGGTCAGTGTTTGCTGTTTGACATCGCTTTGCCGTGACTGTTGCTCTTACTGCACACCTGGATGCTGTCGCCAGACTCAGGCTGTAACTTAACGGTGGGAACGCTGAAGATTGAAGACACTGAAAAACAAGGACACATTCACTCCGTGAGTCTCCATGTAAAATCTTCTGTGGGAAAAGATGACGCAAAATATAACACCATCATGTGAAAGAAAGGGAGGTAAAACAATGACATTTTGATGATGATGATGACAAGAAAAATAGAGTTCAAAATTAGTAAATCTACAACTATCAAATTTAGAATTCCAGAAACATATGATGCACTTTTACAATATTTTTTAAAACAAAACTCTAATAATGAATAATGATTTTTTTTGTCATTTCTTTTTGTGAGAAGGGATTTAAAATAATACCTAGATTAGTAATTAATATATATGACGTCTATAGAAGCATACTTTCAGTTCACGTTATCATTCAAAATTAATTTTCATGACAGCTGTGCGGAGAGGAATAAATAAACCATATATTATAGCATTTCGTCACAAATTCATCAAAGCTCTTTCCACTGCATTATATACCAAACGCCACGACCCTGTAAAGCAGCTTTAAACACTGAGACTTTAGAAAGACCAAGAGAGATGTAGAGTATGTTGAAGGAAAATAAATAAATAAACAAATAATACATATACTTATATCACTGGACAAAAGATTTATGTTTTTGAAAGAAGTCTCTTCTGCTCATCAAGGCTGCATTTATCAAAATCAAAAATACAGTAAAAATTTTGAAATATTATTACAATTTAAAACAGCTGTTTTCTATGTGAATATATTGCAAAATGTAATTTATTCATGAGATGCAAAGCTGAATTTTCAGCAGCTCAAGATTTGCTGCTCAAGAAACATTTCTTATTATTGAAGATCATGTGACACTGAAGACTGAAGTAATGATGCTGAAAATTCAGCTTTGATCACAGAAATAAATTACAGTTTAACAGATATTCACTTAGAGTTATTTTAAATTGCAATAATATTTCACCATATTTCTGTTTTTACTGCATTTTTTATCAAATAAATGCAGCCTTGGTGAGCAGAAGAGACTTGTATATGTATAAGTATTAAAATCCACTATTTGAACTATTTGATATCAAATATTTGAAAACAGAAATGTATTTCTCAAATTAATAGATGGCTGACTTTTCCATTTGTTAACATGATATGGTTAGATTCAGATGGTAAATATCATATATTATGTTGGGTGTCCATATTAGAGATAATCACCATGTTTAGAATGAAACCATCATATTTAAAAACATGATATTAATCATATCATATAATAAAATATCATTTGTTGTTACTACTGTAAATATATATTAAATTATTATTGGATCTCCTTCAGTACTTTCAGAATCTTCACTTATTAAAATGATTTTTGTTTCTGTATTTTAAAATATATTTTTTATATTAACATATTTTAATGACAGTATATTTTTTGAACAAAAATGAATTCTATTATTTTTCAAAATAATCAGAAAATAGTACAAACTTTGCTAAAGTGATTGTTTTGAACAAGTATTGACTTAGACATTACTTAAAAAACATTATTTTAGCTGAAGTATTTGTATCAATACCGTGGGACTTTTACCCCGTGTGTGGGGGAAAAGGTCCCTCTTGCCACCTCATATGTTTATAAGATTTTTAAACAAAATAAAGAACTTGAATGATTCATTTTCACACAAAATCTGTTGCTCCATTAGTGTTCAATACAACGTATATATTTTTTCAGCAATTATACATTTTAGGTGCAGTGAATAGCACATTTTTTTCTTAAGGTGGGCCTTTAGCCCCGTTGTACCCTATATATATTTCTCACAGCGAGTGTCATGGCGGATGCCCAAATCCAATATAATAAAAAAAAAATACTGTTTTGTGTCACGGAATGTAGTTTTAAGAGATTTTTAGGCGAGAATGTACTTGTTTGGACGGGTTGTCAATAAAGAAAATATCTATTTGAAAATTTGCTTCGACGTTTTCGGAGATGTGAGTTCCAGGACTTCAGCGGCCTTTCAGTGCTCATGAATCCGCCGAGAGCGCCTCACCTCGGCCAGATCTTCTGGAATTTACC